CAAACTGGTATTGCAAATAAGTCATATAAAAATTCAGTCATTGCAAAGTAGTATTCATTACATATTAAGAAATAAGTAAATATAAAAGACATAATTCACATAAGAAGTATTATGTCCTTATGAAGTGTATATGTAAACAAGTAGTATTCATCATGCAAAATAACTAGTAATTCCTCATGTAAAACTTGTATTCATTATGCAAAACAACTAGTATTCAGCATCATGGCAACTAATATTCATCCTCTTACAACTATTCTTCTTCTGCTTATAACTAGTATTCATCGTGTAACCAACACCACAAACCATCACACATCACATACATTAACTAAACCCAAACCATGAAGACATATTCTATGAACTAGTCATTGTGATCCCAAAAGAACCCACGAGGCCAATCACCTTAACAACTACCATTCGTTTTGCATGTATAAGAACTAGTACCACAAAACTCCCAACTAGTATTCAGTAAACCCTAAGCCCTTATAAATAAACGAACACAACTTCAATCAAAAGGTAGGAGACCAACATGAATGCGGTAGAGGGACATCGACGCACTCTACTCAAATCGTTGTTCCTGTGTGGATCGGACTTCTCCAGAGCTCCCTGCCACCATCCCTAAACACGTAGTTCTCTGCCTTCATGTGTGAGAAAGTAATGGAGCATAAGATCGAGAAGCAATTGATGGAGATGGAGACGCTTCGATCTCTGTCAGTCTGTCACTCGCCGCTTCGATCTCTAAACCTTTATTTCCGACGTCAACGAGCCCGATTTTGTCAAAGATGGAAGACGGTTTCAGGTGGTTTGGGTGGTTCTGTGGGTTTGAGAAGATCGATCATTAAAGAAAGAGAGGATGAAGACAATTCATGGGTTTAAGAGGGAAGAGAATGAGAGAGTTAGCGACATTGTTTCTCCTTTTCTTGCTTTGTTTTTTCCCCCCCTAATGTGGGACCTGTCAGTGAGAGAAGTAGGCTGGCTTAGCTGAGCTGAGCCTTCCTTTCTCCCTTCAATCTCATGTAAAGGAGCCATTAAATCCCAACCATCCATACCAGTTCAGGGTATGTGGCCTCATCTCGGTCGTTTGATGACATGCTAACAGAATATGGTGTCAACAGTCAACACTCAACACTATAGACATATTGTTGCTCCATTGTTGTTATCACGTTCTTCTCGAAGTCCCATCCAATTGTGTAACAAGATGCTCATGTATTATCTGGCAAACGTTTGTATTCTTTTACAGTGATGTTAATTGCACTTTCTGTAAATAAACTATATTGTTCCTTTTGGATATTGTCAGTTTTGCAGGGTTGGAGAGCTCTATCTTTGCTCACCACATTTTTTTTTTTTTTGACAAAAGGCAGTGCTTTTCCATTACTTGTGGCTGAAGCCAGATGATTACAGAAGGTGAGAAATAACATCAAGGACTTGAACCCATTGACTGGGCAGTACATTTCTTGCTCGTGATCTTGCCACCCAATTTGCTTTCACGTTGTCCTCCCTTTTGATGTGGGAGATGTTGATCCATGGGTGATCATCGAGCGTCTTTTTGATGCTTCCAATTCACGTTGTTGCACGCCATGGCCACTGACTCCGGTTCCCTTGCACAGCCTTAATTAGGGTGAGACAGTCCGATCGGACCAGGCAAGGGCCGTGAAGGCTGGCGGCCACGAGCGTTCCTTCCCACAATGCTTTTGCTTCTGCTTCAATAGGTGAAAAACAATGCAGGGGTTCAGCTACCCCGTCACATACTTGTCCATGGTCATTTGTGACAACGATGCCATATGCCGCCTCTTGAGATGCTTCAAAGAAAGAACCATCACAGTGTATTTCAAACTCATGAATACTTGGCGGTGGAGTAGGATGATCCGGGGATGGGGCTAACTGAATGGTAGGGGAAGAAGATGGTGTTCTGGCTAGGGATGGCAAAAATATCCGTAACCGTGGATATCCACCCGAATCCGGCCTAGTCGGGTAGGGTAAAACCCGAACCCGAAGGACATTTGGTGGGTACGGGTAAAACCCGAACCCGAATATTGCGGGTAACGGGTGGGCATGGATTTCTCACTATCCGACCCGAACCCGCCCGATTATACACATGCATATGTATTTTGTCTAGAAATAATCATTATTTTTCTCTAACATATTTTATATTTAGCATATAAATATAACATTTTCATGAAATTGTGTTGTTTTAGTTAATTTTCTTCATTCTAGTGAATTCTTGTCGTACTTTTTCTCTTACTTAATATAAGAATACGTGTGAATGTTAACATATTGGTTGGAGTTATGAAGAGAAATTAATATCCATGGATAATCGTGGATACCCGATACCCGAAACCCGAACGGGTATGGACATGGTTTTGATTTTCTACCCGTTTCACATGTGGGTATGGGTATGGGTAAAACCCGAAGTACTTTGGGTAGGGTAACAGATATGCACTATCCGCCCCCGACCCGACCCATTGCCATCCCTACTTCTGGCAGGGCACGCGTCCCATTGATGTGCCTCAAGGATAGCCCTAGAGCTGGTGGAGGGTGGCCAAGGGATTTTACCCCTGAAGATGAACTCGTTCCTCGTCTTCCACGTCTGCCACAACAGGAAGATAACCTTCTGGATGAGGGTAATAGAATACCTGGTCTGAAGAGAGAAGAGCCAATCCAGGATAGGGGTGAATAAGGGGGGAACGACCAGCGAAGGCCAATCCTGTAACCATCCAGCAGCCGCGTGTGGGCAAGAGAAGAGTGTGTGATGGATCGATTCTGTAGGATCTGCACAAATAGGGCAAGCTTTGGTCGATGAACAGCTTCGGGAGAAGAGATTCTCCTTTGTTGCCAGGGCCCTTCTATTGCATTTCCACACAAAGAATTTCAGTTTGGGAGGCAGGGACAGGCTCCAAAGTCATTTCCATCTTTCTTTGCTGGAAGTGTCTGCTGAATGGTTACCCTGTTCCCGTCGGATTAGGTTGTGGAAGACGTGGTAGGCTGATTTCACAGTGAAATCGCCACTGTCCGTGAATCTCCAAGCCCAGATGTCCTCCAGAGACTCAGGACCAATGGGGGTGGCAGCCACCTGTTTGAGATCCAACGGGCTTAGATAACCTGCCAGGAGGTCGAATCTCCAGGCTCGATTGATTCCATCAATCCAACGGTCCACAGTGGATTCATCAGGCCAATCAAACTCAAGCAGTGGGCCCGGTCGATCAAATCTCCATGGATCTTGGAACATCCTTGTCGACTTACCATTGCCAATCACCCTAATGATGCCCTGTTTCATCCATTTCTTAGCCTCCCATAGGCTAGACCAAATCCAGGACGCCTTTCCACCTTTCTTTGCGGATAAGAAGTCAGACTTGGGGTAATAAATGCTTTTCAAGACCCTCACCCACAGGGCGTCGGGGTTGGTGATGGCTCTCCATGCCTGCTTAGCCAATAATGCAAGATTGACCGTGTTGAATGGTCTGAAGTTGAGTCCTCCCTCCTCCTTTGGGGCATACAGAACGTGGCCTGCTCTCCAGTGGATAGTTTTCTTCGACAATTTCCCACTTACAGAACGTGGCCTGCTCTCCGTGAATCTTTGCTTACCACTTACCAGGCACTCTCTTGATCCTGCGAAAGTGGAAGGTTTGCTTCCCAACTTCACTTTTCAGCGGAGCTAATTCCATGCTTTTCATTTTGGATCGCGAGTTATTTATAAATAAATCAAAATTATTTATTTGAAATTATTAATACTCATGTTATTTGAAAATAATTAGTTTAGACATTTGTTATTATCAAATACCACATATCAAATACCGAATGATTCAGTCAAACGAAATATTTTAAATCAAATTACCACAAAAATAGCACTGAAACATCGTATGGACAATTAAACGTGTTATTTGATTCAACAAATACCACATTGACAATTAATCCATATAAGTAACTCTCAATCGTTTCATAAGAATTTCGTAGCTCACAGGTGGTTCGCATGTGTTATTTGCATGAGTCTTTTGGTGTTAAATGACTTGTTTGCCAACATATGTGGCAAGGTCGACGTGGAAAATAATCAATATTAATGTTGAGGACGAATATTTGAATAAATGTACTTAAATTAAACTTAACGTGATATTGTTTCTCCCGGGACATCCGATTAAATTGAGACTTAATGTGGTACTCGATGTACTATTAAAATTAAGTGATATGATCTCACAAAATAGAAAACTTAAGTGACGACTGGAGTATTTTACCCTCTCAAGTCTCAGATACACGGTAACACGAGTAGGGGTGAACAAACACACCCGCAAACCGACCCACCCGTCCAACTCGACCCAACCCACCCGTATTTATCGTTAAATCGAAGGTTTTTGGTTGGGTGAGGGTTTTCTTTTGTACAACCCGCCTCTTTTGGGTTGGGTTTGGATTTTGGATTACACAACCCGTAGAACCCGACCCAACCCGTGTTCCAATTATTGGTATGAGTTCGTATCCAAAAAATTATGTATGTGGTATATAGTCATACTTATGAGAAAATTAGGATATTTCGCCATGTTTTTCTCTTAAAGTCTCACTAATCTAATGCATTCTTCAACTTAAAGTTTAGACATATATTTAATATAGCTATGATTCACGTAATTTTTTTTTCTTGTGTACAATTTTAAAAGAATATCATATTATGGATGCGTTCATTTGTAACTTTTTTAGCCTATTTCAACAAATGTCGTGAAAAAAACTAGACATAAGTTGAAGTAAATCAAGTTTTATTAAAATTCAAACAATATTTGTGAATTTTGATACCTTTCACCTCAGTTTATTCGTTTGAATTTTTATTTTGTTATAAAATATTTTTATGATGTAGAATAATCACATATTTTGTGTTGGGTTGAGTTTTTACTTAAAAATATCGCCAACCCGACCCAACCCAATTAGAAACAAACCGTAGGGTTTAGATTTTTTTGGGTGGGTTTGGGTTTAATATTTCCCAAACCGTAGTGCATGGATCGGGTGATTAAAATGCCTAAACCCGGACCACCCGACCCATGTACACCCATAAACACGAGTACACGACCCTGGCCTGAGCCAAACCTAACCAACGCTGCTGAGCGTGACCAGTAAACACCCAAAAAGGGAAATGGGCTCGTCGTCAGCCCCGCCGCCGTCTCTTTTCCTCCGCCCGTCCGGTGCTCCTACCCTTTCGCCGCACCGTAATGCCGTCATTCCCAGTTCTTCCGACTCCTTTCTCCGATCCAGAAACCCTAGGTTACTCCACCTCTCCGCTTCATTCACCGACGGTCAACTTGAACTGTCCTGGTTCCTCCCGAACTCTAACCCTCCCACTCCAGATGGCCGCAGCAATGATGAATTTAACGGCTGGGCTGTCGTCGAAGCCCCTGCAACCCCCAACAAGAGGAAGAAAGGTATCTCAACTCTTTGCATACGAAATTCAGCTGATTTCTTCCATTTTCGAATGCTTAAAGTTGAGACTACAAATCGCTGGACTGCCAAGAGTTGTGATTGGTGGAATCGGGGTTTGTGTTGCCGCTTCTGCCGTGGCAGCTGGTGCATATTTCTCGCTCTCCAGAAATGGTTAGTTCTATTTCGTTTGATGGGCGGCCATATCGTACCTTCATGTGAATTTAAGAATTTCGGGTTGTTAAGGTGTCTTTCGATTGGTATTTCACAGGGGGCAAATTGCAACCTCGTTGCCCTTCGGATGCTGCCATTATGACTTCCGTGGACGACGAAAGTGAAGCCAAGGAGTTGGCTTCGCCTGGTGATAATGTTGGTGTTCCTGAGGCCATTCCAGAGTCTGTTCCTGAGCCTCCTGCTGTATCCCGCACTTATGGTACATTCTACTTATCTAGTCTTCTTTGATTCAGTTTTACATGCTAGCTTTTTGTTCCCATCTAGGAAATTGATAATTCGTACCTGGAGAACTATGAAACTACTTTGATCCTTACATATGGGTTCTTGAATGAAAATTGCTGATATTGCTTTACCTTAGTCTGTTCTCATTTCATTTCCCCCTCCATTCTTTTCGGTTCTATTTCATCTGCAGAGAAGCGTTTTAAAGTTTCGGTTGCTTTGGATTCAACACAGTTGGAAGCCCTAGCGAGCTTGCAGAAACTAAAGGTGTGTTGTTTTAGTAATGTCTCTGACATGATCCTCTTCATTTCTTTTTATGTTGCTACAGAGGCTATGCTGTGATCTAGAGCATTTTTCTGTGGAAGGATTTTCATCTTAGTGTTATGCTGACTCCCTTCTTTGACATATAGTTGTTACTTGCCACAATTCAACTGTTCATAAGAACATGGATTTTCACATCTGGGAACTTTTGGGTTGTCCTGCTGCTTCATAACATGCATTAGCTCTGCTCCAATAAGCAATTAGCTCCGATATTCATTTGCTCCAATTTAGACTACTTCCTCATGCACTATTTTTCCTTTCTGTCCCAAATATACTCTTTCGTGAGAGCCTACTGTTTTAAATAACTTCTCTTGATGAACTAAGTTATGTATGGTTCTAAGCATTACTATTTTTCCTTTCAATTAAGATATACAGATTATTGAAGACGACATAAGAGTTGACGAATTATGCACTAGAAGAGAATATGCAAGATGGTTAGTTCGTCTGAATTCCCTACTCGAGAGGTAGTGAATTACAGCTAATTCAAGTTACAGGACTGCTTGCTCGTGTCATATCTGTCAGCTTTTTGTGCTGATTTTGCAGAAATCCCAAGTACAGAGTTGTCCCAACTATATCCCTTTCAGGATCTCTTGCTGCTGCATTTGATGACATCAGCATTGATGATCCAGATTTTGTGTATATTCAAGGTGAGACATTTGTAGTTTTAGAAGGTCACAGGGTTGTGTTTTTGGTAGAAGTGTCCTGAAATGTCTGTTTCTGCTTGCCACATCAGCTCTAGCTGAGGCCGGCATCATACCAAGCAAATTGTCCTCAACAACTTTGTTTTCTGGCACTTCAGAAGATGGAAGCTTCTACTTTTATCCAAATAGGTATGAGGGTGGAAATAACTTGTGAATGTCCCTATCCATGACTCAATTTCGTTTTAATATTTCCACTTCTTAAACAAATGAAATGCATTTTCATGTAGGTACCTGTCCCGGAAGGAAATGATCAACTGGAGAGCTCAGTTAGAGTATGCCATCTTGCCTGTAACAAAAGAGCAGGTAAAATGTACCTCAAATTGTGGCTCATTATGTTACATGATGAATGAAGAGGCAAAGTAATTATTCTCTTTGAAATTGGCCTTTTTGTAGCTTCTTAAAACCTGACTTGTCTACAGTCCAGATGTCAAGAATAAGAGTAGATTACATGGATGTGAAGGACATCACTTCAGATACATCACCTGAATTCTTTGCTGACATGTTGGCCGGGGAGAAAAGCATAATCAGAAAAGTGTTTGGTATGTCTCTCATATACTCTGCTAAATTTCACCATTGGCAATTGCATTGTGAAAACTGTACACGAGTACCATTTTAAAGTCCCATTGAAACATATTAGGTAAGCACCTAGTCGTATGTGCCAATAAGACCAGGGAACGAACATGGGCAATGTGTTTTTCTCTTTTGTGTTCCTTGAACCTGGAAACCATCAGAACGAAAGAAAAATGAAGAAGCAATCAGGATTCATGAATCATTTGATCCATTTTTGTTTTGCTGAATAAACCAAATCAAGTTGCTGATATGTATTATACAATACCATTGCAGCATGTCATTATGGGGGGCATGGTTAAGACTTGTGGATAGTGATAGGTTACTGTCTTGAGGAATCTTCTATAACTTCCAGACTTAATGTAATAATTATTTTTTTCAGGACAGAGTAGGCGTTTTCAGCCAAATAAACCTTCAACCAAGGCACAGGCAGCTGTGACACTGACAAGTGGCAGAATGGCCGAAGCGGTTCACCACGAATTACTCAGACTGAAAGCAGAGAGTTCTTCAAGGCAGGCTGCTGCTGAAGAAATTAAGTCTGAGCTGCTCGAAAGAGGCGATATCAAGAACTTTTGGAATGAAAAGCTTCTTTTTGAAAGAAACCATGGAGTTGAAGTGCAGAAGCTCTACATTGCCACCTTGCAGGATTTGGATAAGGAGAAAGATCTTCAAGTCAAAACTCTGACTGAGAACATGAAGGAAAAAGCAGCTATGGACTGTCAGAGACATCTAATTCTCACTCTTAAGGAAGAGATAGAAGATATGGCAGAAAGGCTTGCATCCGAGAGGACTACATATGTAGCTGAGCAGTGTAACATTCAGGAGTTGAGGAAAGCAGTGCTGATGGATCAGGAAGGGGTTCTTGATTCAAAATCTATTCTGGAAGCTGAAATAGAAGCTCTCCAAGTTCTCAGGTACAGTCATTGTCATGAACCAGCTATCTGTTTTAATCAAATATACACCTTTGCAAGCTCAGCATAAAAGTTGAAAACTTAATCAGAGATGGTGTGTTGTGATGAATGCAGGACTTGGGTAGAAGACGAAGCAAAGAAAAGCCAGGCGCAGGCTAAAGTCCTTGAGGAGGTAGGACGGCGGTGGAAATGGGACAACCAAGCTTGAATTCTCGCCGTGTTGTACAAGTAAAAAACTGCATAATAATTAACCTATCATTCGTTAGTTTCTTCATCTTCAGGGGAATAGAAGGGTTGTGTGAAAAAGTCCCGGAGTGACGTGGTAATGTTTAGAACTGGGCATTAGGAGTCATCATCATGATGTGATTACTTCAGGATAAATTAGGCCGAGGCAATGAGACAAGAACTTCGGTGGATATTTTCTTCTTCTTTTTTCCGGGCCATGTTCTGAGGGACATTCCTGGTCCTGGAAGCATGTTTCATATTTAGACCGGATGGAGGTTGGAAGGAACAGCTTACAGCCCGCAAGAAAACATTGTGGTCAGTTCGAATGCCTATGCCTTCTAGATCGGGTCATAATGCGTTATGGTACAATTTCGTGTAAAGATGTTTTGCTCGCTGTGATGGCAAATCTGAATGTTGTGCTGATTTTTTGCAGTCATTTTTCATCTTCTGTCCTTCTTGAATGTTTATGGATCCAGTATGTATCTCGTTAAAAAGCATCGTAAGAGCTTGGAGCAACAATTGAAGATCTCTAGCTAGTTTGGACCTTGAGACACAGGAAATGAGGAAAATATGCCTTCAGACGAACTCGCTAGTACTAGTAGGTGCCAAACTCGTTGTAGAGGTTGAAACAAGGCATCCTTGCTAGTTTGGACTAGAGATTGTAATTTGTTTGCTGATAACTGATCTTAGTATTGCTAAGCAACAAAAATTTTGTGATGAAAACATTATAATGGGCGGGGTAAGTATGAACTTTTTACAGTGTTTTATTTTATGTGGGGTTTAATTTCTTCCACAGTTCCACTCCCACTTCGCTTCCCTTTCCCTACCTTCCACGGCAAAGTACTAATGCTTCCTCATCCAGCAGCAACAGCAGCTAAGGCCAGTCATGCCCTACTTTCCTCGTCCCTGTAACCAGGTATCTCTCTTCCTCCATCCCTTACCTGGATTTTCCTTTTCCATTCGTAAGCTCCATTTCCATACAAAATCACGTGAGAGATGGACAAAAACCTGCAGAGGTTAACTCAGTAGTGAAAATGGAACCTTTTTGTTTCACAGCACAGTCCGTGAGGCCAGAGCATCACAGCCATTAAAATGGCGATGTGGATAACCCTTTTTTGGCTGCTACCACCATAAGTGGAGAGTGGAGACCATAATCCACAAAGCAGTTTCCTTTTTTTTCTTCTTCTTTCTGCCTTTTACCAGTTTGTCACAGCAAATTCCTTGGTGAAAACAGTTAACTACCCAACTTCTCTACTCCCAAATTTCCCACCTTAAGCATTTTGACTTGTTTATATGCAGCGCTGCAAAAATGGCGGCCTTAAAGTTGCCTAAATCATCCAAGTGCAAAACATCCCAACAAAGGCATATGACTTTTCTAGTCAATTAGCCCCTATTTAGGTTTGTTTTAGGAAACAGATAGGCCAAAAAGAGGATGTGAAATCAAAGCAATCAATCACCCAAAAGGTGTGGCTGCATTTGTATCTGTTTGGATTATATCTCCCAACATGCTCCAGTCCACAAAGTAAAATCTCAGCCTTACCTCTGTTTAACCCTTATCCATCTTCCCTTCTGCTTAATTCTACTTAATGGGTAGATGCCAAAAGGGCAAGATGCTTGTCCTTTTTGAAGCTGGACCCACTTCCAGATAATGTTCCCTAGTTCTTGGCTTCACCACCTTATAATCAAAATCCTTCTTATTTGTCCCTTTCCATATTGGGATTGGCTGTCAGTCATATGGAAGTTGCACATTCTCAAGGCATCAAGTTGACCTTTCAGGTTAAACATTTTCTGGGTTATTGTTCTTATCATCTGAGATAGGCTGTATTTTTGCCATGCAGAAGCAAAAATGGTGGGGTTTACTCTAATTTATCAGTTCAGCTGCCAGATTGGAATTAAGTTTTGGCAGTTAGGAAATTAGAAATGGACTGATATCCAACTTGTGGAGCTCCTCATAATAGCCAGCAGAGCTCATTAATTAGAGAGTTAAGATTGACAGTGGGCCAGTTCTTTTTGCTCTTCTGTTACAGTTTTTGCAGCTTTAACCTTGTTTGTGTCGCTTTCAGGCTGTTAAGTGTTAACGGTTTTCCCCCTCTGAATTGGAGAACTTACATTACCTCTCGGGAGCAAAAAACATGGGCCACTTGTTATACTCGTGGTTGCTGTATCCCTTAGCTTGACAATTGCGTTGGAATTCTGCTTATCTCCAACCTTCTTTGGTTTTCGGCAGCTGTCCCTCTCCCTCGTCTGAAAATTCTGTGAACCTGTTAACACAGATACCCATATTCCGAGCGTTAGCTTGCTGGACTTGTCTGTGCGTTAACTCTCACATGCATTATGTGGGATTCATGTCGGAATAATCATCATTCAATAAGCCTCTGTTGACTGCTGCAGGAGGGTTCTGGGTCAGTCTGCAATTCCCCTTTGGCTCGCTCATCCCTTGAGTTAGTTTTCCTGTCATGGAGCAGTGGAAGAAGAGGGCAAGAGGGTATTGGAAACCCTTGGTTTCTGGCTATAGATGTTTGGAAAGATAAGAGTTTTCTATCTTCAGTACCCATATGATTGTCAGGGTAGGCCTCGTGGTCGCAGCTTCGATTGCAGCCTATGCTGTTAAGCAGAAAGCTTCAGGTAATAAACTAAACCTCATTCCTGCCCCTTCTCTTCGTCTATCCATTTTGGAAGAAAAAAATGACACCTTTCCTTTCTTCTTACTTATAAAATATAGCAGAATTAGGCCATAATGCTTAGTGGAGAGAAATTTTGCTTGGTGAAGGATTCTCATTCTGTTTCTCAAAGTGCTTTGCATTGCTTCTCTCATGATTGCTTTCAGAAAATGGTAAGCGTCGAAGCAAACATAATGGCAGAGAGCAGATTCCTTATCCAGATGGTAACATCAAGGAGAAGGAAGAAGAAGAAGAGAAAGAGGAGGTTAAATTGATCAACAGCATATCAAATGGTGTTCATGGTGGTATGCCACCTGGTATGGACGATGAAGATGACATTTTACCTGAATTCGAGGATTTCTTATCAGGGGAGATCGAGTATTCATTACCAAGTGACAAGTTCGATTTGTCTGAGGAAAAAAACAAGGTCTATGAAAGTGAGATGGCAAACCATGCCAGCGAACTCGAACGCCTTCGCAAGTTAGTCAATGAACTGGAAGAAAGAGAAGTGAAACTTGAAGGTGAGCTGTTGGAGTACTATGGCTTAAAGGAGCAAGAATCAGACATTGTTGAATTGCAGAGGCAGTTAAAAATTAAGACTGTGGAGGTTGACATGTTGAACATAACCATTAACTCGCTTCAATCTGAAAAGAAGAGACTTCAGGATGAACTTGCACAAGGTGGAGGATCTGCAAGGAAAGAGCTGGAAGCTGCAAGGAAGAAAATCAGAGAGCTTCAGAGACAGATACAGCTGGATTCTAACCAGACAAAGGGACAGCTATTGTTGCTGAAACAACAGGTTTTGGGTCTACAGGCGAAAGAGGAAGAAGCTGTAAGGAAAGGTGTTGAGGTTGAAAAGAAGATGAAGGTTGTGAAGGAACTAGAGATGGAGGTTGTTGAGCTAAAGAGGAAGAATCGAGAGCTTCAGCATGAGAAGAGACAGTTGACTGTCAAGCTGGATGCTGCTGAAGGGAAGATAACAGCCATATCCAATATGACAGAGGTAAGTTGCTAACTGCTGCTATAAGTGCATATTTGTTTCCAATAACACTGACATAATCTGGGATGGTGGTATTGTAATGGTATGTAATTGAACAAATTTACTGTTTTTCATTAACACTTCTGATTTAATAGAGTGTATTTGCAATAGCACGTGGTAATCTCAAATGTATCAAAATTATGCAATCGCAAATGCATGGTGGGTAGAGTAGTATTTGAAAGAGCATCTGAAGAAGTGAATCTTTTTTCATTTTTTCTTACACAATTTTCTAAGAGAAATACACCAAGCACCCTGAGTGAATAAGGTTTCTGGTGCTTTGTATTATTATTGATTGCAGAATGAGCTAGTGGCAAATGCAAGGGAGGAAGTCAGCAATATTCGGCATGCAAATGAAGACCTACTGAAGCAAGTGGAAGGACTTCAAATGAACAGGTTCAGTGAAGTCGAAGAGCTAGTCTATCTCCGCTGGGTCAATGCATGCTTGAGATATGAGCTCCGCAACTACCAAGCACCCCCTGGAAAAGTTTCAGCCCGCGATCTCAGCAAAAACTTAAGCCCCAAGTCACAAGAAAGGGCCAAGCAGCTAATGCTAGACTATGCCGGATCAGAACGTGGCGGCCAAGGTGGTGACACTGACATGGAAAGCAACTTCTCCCAGCCATCTTCCCCTGGAAGCGAAGATTTCGACAATGCCTCCATGGACAGTTCCTTTAGCAGGTACAGCAGTCTCAGTAGGAAGCCAAGTTTGATGCAGAAGCTGAAGAAATGGGGAAGCAGGGGCAAAGATGATTCAAGCGGTTTTTCATCGCCTGCCAGGTCTCTAACTGGCTCCCCAAGCATGAGCTTCAAGCCTAGGGGGCCACTAGAAGCATTAATGCTGAGAAATGCAGGGGATAATATGGCCATTACTACATTTGGGAAGATGGATCAAGATGCTGCTCCTGACTCTCCGGAAACCTTAAATCTTCCTCCCATAAAAACACAGGCCTCTCAGACCGATTCTCTAAACTCTGTTGCTTCATCGTTCCAGTTAATGTCAAAGTCTGTTCATGGAGTCATGGATGAGAAGTACCCGGCTTACAAAGACCGGCATAAGTTGGCACTGGAGAGGGAGAAGCATATCAAGGAAAGAGCTGAGCAAGCTAGGGCTGTGAAGTTTGGTAATACAACACAGTTTGACTCCTCCAGAGGGAAGGGGGCTAGACCTGTAAATCTGCCATCACAACTAGCTCGTCTGAAAGAGAAACCGCTTGTTACTGGTGAGTCAAAGGAGGAGCAGTCAGCGGATGGGAAGTCCACTGACTCTCCAGTTGTCAGCAAGATTCAACTTGCTGACATTGAGAAGAGGCCTCCTAGAGTGCCTAGGCCGCCACCTAAACAGTCTGGAGGTTCTTCTCTATCTGGTGGAGTGCCTAGTGCTCCACCGCGTGGCCCAGGTGGACCACCACCACCACCACCTCCTCCTCCTGGAGGTGCAGGTGGGCCGCCTCCACCACCTCCGCCACCTGGAAGCTTGCCGAGAGGTGGGGGAGGGAGTAAAGTTCACAGGGCACCTGAGCTGGTGGAATTCTATCAGTCATTGATGAAGAGGGAGGCAAAGAAGGATACAACGTCATTGATTTCTTCATCAACAGGCAATGCTTCGGATGCTAGAAGCAATATGATTGGGGAGATTGAGAACAGGTCATCATTCCTCATGGCTGTTAAAGCTGACGTGGAAACTCAAGGCGAATTTGTGGAGTCATTGGCAAGTGAAGTCAGGGCATCCTCTTTTACCAACATAAATGACTTGTTAGCATTTGTGAATTGGTTAGATGAGGAACTCTCCTTCTTGGTAAGCTACCCTTTCGTTGAATCTTTCCCTCGTAGCTTTCTCATACGTTCAAATTGTCTTAATAATGCTGTATTTTCTTTATCTCTATATGAACAGGTGGATGAACGGGCAGTCCTGAAGCACTTTGAGTGGCCTGAAAGCAAGGCTGACGCGTTGAGAGAGGCAGCATTCGAGTACCAGGACTTGATGAAGTTGGAGAAGCATGTAACATCGTTTGAGGATGATCCTAGTCTCCAATGTGAGGCTGCTCTCAAGAAGATGTACAAACTGCTGGAGAAGTACGTTTGCAACAGCTTTCATTTTCTTGCTAACATCTCCCTCTTTGGTTCTTTACTTGACATTTCACTGTGCCATTTCTTTAACCAGGGTGGAGAATAGTGTGTATGCACTTCTGCGAACAAGGGACATGGCAATGTCACGGTACAAGGAGTTTGGGATCCCAGTTGATTGGCTGCAAGACTCTGGAGTTGTTGGCAAGGTAGCAAAAGGGATTCGACAAAGTTTCTTGATTTTCCCCTTCTACAATGGTTAAATATGCATGATGATATCTGATTCTTCCATGCCTTGCAGATCAAGCTATCCTCAGTTCAGTTGGCAAGAAAGTACATGAAACGTGTTTCGGAGGAGCTCGATGTCATGACCGGACCTGAGAAGGAACCCAACAGAGAGTTCTTGCTGCTGCAAGGCGTGCGCTTTGCTTTCCGTGTTCATCAGGTAGGTGTTCGCTTCTATCAGTCCTCGACACCCCTTCATTATCATCCCCAAGTTCTTATTCACAGGCTTAACAATATCTGGACTTTTGGGCAGTTTGCTGGAGGGTTTGACGCTGAGAGCATGAGGGCTTTTGAAGAGTTGAGGAGTCGTGTAAATTCCAAGGGCGAAAATGATGGGAGTAATGATTTAGAAGTAGCAGCAGAACAGTGATTGATATCATATGGCTTCTTCAGGTTTCTTCTGGGAATGTATATGGTGTGTATATCTATTTGTCAACTGCATATTGCAAAGTTCAAAGGAAAGGAAAAGAATAAGAGATTGATCGATAACCCTTTTGTTTTCTTTATATTCTGTCTGGTGCTTTTTCTTTTATTATTTTGCAGCTGGGTCGCCCTGATACTATACTACACAAAGGAAGAGGAAAAAGAAAGCAGCTCTTCTTTCCAGTCCCACTTCTTACTGAGAAACCAAAATCAAGAAACCAGGAACTACTATAGGAAAGAAAAAAGCCCATAAAAAAAACTCAGGCACAGGATGATTACATATGAAAAGAGGGAATTTGGAAATCCACCGCAAAAATTCAAGTTCAAGGCCACCCGCCGCCGGCAGAAAGGGATTTCCCAAATCACTACTGAATCCGCCCTCCGACAAACAAAGGCTCCCCGAAAACGCTGCGTTTCGTTTATTCCGCTACCTGGATCTGATTCCCTCGGCTGTCGTAAAATATGACGCCGGAGAACTCCGGCAGCTGACACTTCTCCCCTCTCAAAATCGATTTCTGCCACAACCCGCCTTCCCCGAACCCTCCCGTCGCCACCTTCGCCCCGATCTTCCCCTTCTTCTCACACCCTCCTCCGCCGCCGCCGCTGCTGCCGTCCCTCCTCCTGCTGCTCGCGCTCAAGTCCTTGCTGTTCTTCCGATGCGGCGCCCCCGGCGGCGAGATCTTCTCCCTTTTCTTCTCCGCCGCGGGCTGCGGCGGGGGAGTCGAGGAAGGAAGGGGCACCTGAGCGCTGACGTCGACCCTAATCTCGTGGGCGTGATCGTCCCCGCCTCTCTTCTTCTGGGTCGCCGACGGATTGATCTTGTTCCGGCTGATTGTCCTGTTCATTAGCTTCTTCGTAGTTGTTCTGTCCGTCGTTGAATTCGAATTCGGCTTCTCTTTCGCCGGCTGGTGGGCGCACAATGCCACCAGAGCGACCACCGCCACGAACAACCCGATGGATACCGGCGTGGACGGCCAGGACCCGAACCCGTGACCCGCAGCCATCAACCCGTGCTCAATTAGGCGCAGCCGTGCCATATTATCTCCTCTGTCTGGAAACTAAACCGAAAATGGAGAAAACCCAGAAGGCTAACTGAACATAGGAATGATGATAGGCTGTTGTTTGATTGCCGATTGATTCTGCTGCGAGAAGCGATTGGAGAGCAAATACTTATAGTGACTGTGACACATTGATGAACAGAAGATGCCAGGGGGAGATGGCAGAAGGGGCAGAGAACTGGATTTCTTTGGACATGATAATTAGTTTAAAATCTTGACTAACGTTTTGTTGGTAATGGAAGGAGGTGAGATGAATGGAGATGATTAGAAGAATTCCAAAAACACTTTGGGAGAATGATCAGCAGTGCCTTGCCTTGTTTGTTTGTACTAGTACTTGTTTTAAACATATTCTGGAATTTTTTGTGGGTAGTGAGAATTCGGAATATGGGAAATGTACAAAAGAGGATTTTGCCTTGGAATTAATGTGAATTGTTCATATATATAGATGTATATTTATGTTTTTTTTTTGTCGAATTCAGTCGACCGGTTCGCGCAGGAATTGTCGATCGTTTTGTCAATGTACAGAATCAACCACGACCTTTTGAAAATTTCGTAATTATGACTACAATCAAACTCCTAGATGAAGTATCCTTCGCGTGGAAGGAGAGTTTTGTCGTAGCCCCCATAGGCCTCGAACCACCTTGTTAGTGTGGTATGAATGGCGAGGTTGGCATGGCAGACACGAATTGAGCATTGTACCACTTCAAAAGTATAGGACTCATGTCCAACTTCGAGGTGAGGTCTCTCGTCTTAACTTAATCATGTTAAGTCCATACATTCAACATCTATTAGTACATTCAAAGTGAAGTTCCATGAATTTTTTGATATATGAAATATAGCTAGTCGAGTTAATCATATTCTTGTATTAGTTATCACTTTCTTTCCGAGAATAATTCTCTTACTTGTGGAGAGATTTTGGAATATAATTTCTGTGCAAGTACTTTATATAGTTTTGTATGTACTGCATTATGCTTTAGTCGTTGTTAATATGCACGAGTAGGCGCCAAAAATAAGTTTGTCAAAATTCCTGCTCTGCGTGGTATAATATTTGACTATTTGGGTAGAGACGTACGGCGCCCTGTGCTGGAATTTTCTTTCTCCAGTTATGCTGGAAATTGTCTGGTAGTAAAGGAAATGCAAGTGGCAGGGAAGAGTTTGAAGGTGTTGGGGTTTCCATTTCCTTTGAGATTTCCAAGTTCGTGCACCATGTGATTTGGAATTACTATGGTAATGGTAGCAGAGGCCGATTTCATTTTTTTTTTCTTTCTTTTTAAATGGAATGAAAGAACTTATTAAAGAGCAAGCTAGATATGATTTAATTATTAATGATAAATGATGGGTGAGACGTAAAAAAGTTAAATCGTAAATGAGATTACTAATTTTTCCGACTCACCATTCGATTTGATTATGAAAAAATTGAATTTCCAAACTAGGAAGCACTTTTTCATGGTTATATAATTACATCTCACAAAATCAAATCAAAATTCGAATTTCCATTTCACGTAATAAAAGGTTGATGGAACTTAACTTTGGAGGTTAATTAATTACGACATCTTACCAGGATAGTTATGTTTTAGTGGAAGACAAGGGTGCATCAAGACATGCTTGTTTTGGGGCCAATGATGTTGTGATTTGGGTGGCCAATCAAATGGAATTTCCCGATTTGATAATGCCTTTCTGCTAGCTTTTTGCGTTAGGTAAGTGAAGATTTGGCGACGATGACATGTGATCATGGTTAATAATCTTCTGGTTAAATACTGGACCTTAATAAAATGGGTGTTTGATTAGTCATCATCAGGAGAATGTAAGGGGATACTTATACATGTGTAGTAATGTATACACAAAAATACATATGATCACAGGAAGCTGAGAATATGATGTTGATAACTACATGTTACATGAGAGATAGAAAAACGAATTGAAGTTAGAAATAGTAGCACCAATATATCGTAAGAGATCGAGGAGAAAAAAGAAAACGGAGAATGAATATGTAGTACAATCTACAAGGACTTATGTCTGAAAATTAAATTCAGATGTGCAATAACGATAAGAAATTTGTACTCGGCCTTGATAGAACTACACACAATATTTTGCTGCTTCTTGGAGGAACAAGAGATGGTATCGCGTGACATGAAATAAGTTGTATATTTGAAGTAGAAGAGGATAATCAAGACCCCATCATAGTAAGCATCAAAGTAGGCGTTGACAGGGTGTAATTGCGATTAGACCATTAAAGTGTGAGCTGATTGTCATGTCGGTTCATACTCCGATTTGATTTTCACAATATTGAATTTTACTTTATCCATTAAAAATCTTTCCAATTGAAGTTTTACCCTGATTAGATCAAATTCAAACCAGTATCCACATGATTATTTTTCCATCCTAACTTCATGTAAGATATCATAATTTGTACACAACTGTTGAATGTTGATAAATAGTAAGATACACAGCTCCCGGTAAAGAGGATAGTCAGCTAGCTACTATAGTATGATCCCTAGATTTCTATTAATTAATAGGCAAAATACACTTGCATAGCCAAAACTTTGACGTTTGTGACAATAATAGCCATTTTTGGCGAAATACCAGATATAGCTAGAAATTTGAATGTTTGATGACAAATATAGCCATTTCCGTTACATTCTTTAACGGTGTTAGTGACACCGTTAGTGGAATAAACGGAATGCTGACTTGGATGCCTTCTCAGCCTCTCCGTCGCTTACACCTCATACTTCAGTGACATGTAGGACGACACGTCATTAAAAAAAAAAAAAATTTCGGCAGCCTTAAAAAATCGGGGACGCGAGCCTCGTTCTCCTTCCTCTTTCTTTTTCACTTCCCCCATTGAATCTAGGGTTTCAGAACCCATCACCGCCGCCCCTCCTCTGCACGGCCGCCGCTGATTAAAGGAGGCCCGCCGCCTCCTCTGAACGGTTACCCCTTCGCCTCCGCTGTTCAACCCGACCCCGACCCCGCCTCCGCCTCCGCTATTTCGCAGCCGACCCCGCCTCCCCTGTTTTGAGCCGACCCCGACCCCGCCTCCCCTGTTTCGAGCACAACCACCTCCACCGTGCTGCTCCTCCATCTTAGCCGCTGCTCCTCGCCGTAGCTGCTGCTCCTCCACCTTAGCCGCTGCTCCGCTGCTCCTTCTCATCATGTCTCAAAGGGGCGCTTCCTCTTCGAGAAGCGAAAATGCTCAAAATAGCCTTGGGGAAGTCGCTTGCTACCACAATGCGCCTTGTGTGACTAACAGAAGCAGGAATCAGGCAGAATGTTCTACGGCTGTCCACATTGGAAGGTAAAGTAGAATTTGCTTTCCCATTTGTAATTCATTCATTATGAGATGAAATTGGTGACTATAGAAGTTGTTTTTACAGGATCCAAGTAAAAATTGCAAATTCTTTATGTGGGTGGAAGGGGCAGCAGTGGATGAAGTGGACGGAAGGAGAGAAATATTGAGGCTTCAAGAGAGTTTAAGGTTGGCTGAGGCTAAGGCAGAGAGGAGGAAGAAGGAGAGAAAAATTATAGAGGAAGAGTTGAGGAGGGTTAACCAAGATGTTATTGTAATTCGACAAATGTTCGTTGTTGTTGTTCTTTTGAATGCGTTGTTACTTGTGGTCATGTTAATGAACCGTTGGGGTATGTATTAGTAGCCGCTTATGTGGTAGTTGTATTTCAATGGTTAAACAAGAGACCTAAATTCTAATGTTGACAGAGTAAGTACGCAAAATATGGGTTGTTTCTGGTTTGTTTCTGTTTGTTACTATGCAAATTACATTATAGGGTAGCACCATAATAAGCATAGTGTGCTAGACCAACGATTTCGCCTGAATTGCACAAGTCTTTACTTCTAATAAATAACATAAGTTCACCTGAATTACATAATGCATAACATCCACTAGCAAACATCATTTAACCTGAATTACATAAGTGTTAAAACCCTAACATCTGTTCCTAACATAATGCTCCAATGCCGGCTGATTACATGAGTCACATACCAAAAAAAATCCTCCACGGAGGTCATTATAACAGACATATTCAAAAAAAATGTGACCCATGGTAAGTTTGGTAGTCTAAGGTTGCGTTGTAGGGGGCTGGCTTCCTTGCATGTCTACCTCAGTGGGCTGAGTACCACCAACAGGACGCCCTCGTGCGCCGGCAAGCTATCACAATTAACAAACCACATAAGAATCAGCAAGCATTCACAGTTAAATTCAAGCATTCATGTTCATGCTAACAGGAATTAAAATTCATCCTAATACTTACCCTCACATAAGTATTTCCAGTAGCCTCATTTACATACACTCCCACCCCACTTGTTGCAAGGATGAACATAATCATCCACTTCCTTTCTCAAGTGGGATATTGCTGAGACCGCATGGCAGCAAGGCACGCCACTCAACTTCCAATATCCACACGTACAACTCTTGTCATTGAGGTCAACAATGTAACCTGAATCACCCATTTTGACCTCACATTTGGAATCCAAGGTCTGCCTAGCAATACATAGTCTCGACCATTCCTTCTCCTTCTCTACCCTCTTCCTAATTCTAGGGCATAACAAATCACGGGTATCCATCAACATAGTGTGTTTGATAACGAACCGATCCATCATATACAACCTAATCCCCTCTAGCATGTCGATTAACCTCATCCCCCTAAACTTCACAATCGTTCCGTTCCAAGTCTCACAGATATTGCTTTCAACGGAATCACACTTAGATGCAGGCGACATGAAAGCTCGGCAGAATGTTCTAGGTTCAGCATCCATGAAATCTTTGAAAGGAGTAGAACCAAACTCAGTACCTTCTATTGCCTCCATTTCATTTGTTGCTTTCTTCCAATCCACATCGTTACAAGCATAAACAGCCTTCCAAAAGAGCTTACGGACCCGATCTGTTTTGTTCCTTGCTTTCCAATTTGCATAAACGTGGCGTGCACACTTTCGGTGCTCAGCCTTTGGCAACAACTCGTGTATAGCATCAACTAAACCCTGCAAAAGCAGCAAAAGCAGTAAACATCTACAAACAGCAACTACAAACATTCTGCCTACAAAAGCAGTAAACAACTAAAAGCAATCTAAGCAAGTAAACAACTACAAACAGCAGCTACAAAAGCAACAAAAGCCTACAAAACAGCAAGTACAACACAGCAACTACAAGTATAGCAATAACCTACAATGCAGCAACTACAAACATACAAAAACAGTTGCAAACAGTTACTACAAAACCGCACTAAGAAGTATAGCAAAACACTACAATGCAGCAACTACAAACATCAAAAACAGTAGCAAATTAGCATTACAGCAGAAATAATAACAGTCCAGAGGTCAACATTAGCACATCACAAAGCATAAAAACAAGCAGCAGTTAAACATCAAAATTAAGCAAAAAAACAGCAGTAAGTACCAACCTTTTGTTGAT